ATTAGTTTTACACTCAAATCTGGTCATATTAATTTTCTGATTTGCATAATTACTTTTCAGCTAAGTAATTTCGAATTATATTTAATGTGTCTCCAATACTCTCAGCACATGGGAGTTCTTTCTAAGCTTTCTTTGATTTGTTTTATTATTAATGTATCGTGATAATGCCCAGTTAGCTAGCCAGGCTTGCCCAGCTGTGGAATTAGAATAGACAGCATGCATTCTCATTGCTAATTAATATTCTTTTGTTCGTGCTTGTGCAAGACGACCGTCATTTTATTGTTTCGTATGTTTCGGTTTATTTAATTTACGTTCTCACTGCAGTTCTGAGCGGGCCTCGAATCCAATCCTTTGTCAAGCTAATTTTGTTTTACCCCGATTGCTCGTTTGTGTGTCACGCAACGACGTTGGTTGTTGAGTGGTGTTCATTTTTCTAACTGCTTTAATGTCCCGATGAGTTAAATGGGAAAGCCAAAACGATTGCTATGGTTCCGGTGAGTTTTTATCTAGTACGATTCGAACTCTTGGCGTTTGTCGCGCCCGGATTTGGCGGGAGGCGCGCTAGGCGCAAACCCGTTCAGCCTGCAAAAAAAAAATGACAAACCCGGCTCACCGGAAGTCCGCGGACGTGGCCGCACCCAACCCTTAACGAATTTCTTGATCCACCAGAGTTTGTAATAGGCGGTTTTTAATTTCCCATGTTTGGTACGCCGTAATATGGACCACTTCCCCCATTTTATGAGTGTTGAATGATGTGTTTCTCGCGCGTCACGCCATGAATGAGTTTCAACCACACGGCCATGTTTCAACAATTTGAAACTAAAATCGACGTCATTGTAATTAATCGTCAAACACTATGACTATATGTCTCGTCAGTCATTCGGTGCACTTATATACATAATGAACAGACTGAAATGCCTAAAATCAATTCCAAATTTATTTAATAAAACCTGAAGTATAACGTTATTACCTATGTAACGGCTCTTGCCGAAATCCCTACAATACTATTAATATTGTGCATTTCCTCAGGTACGACGTAGGATCATTTTCACCTAACAGCAGTGAACAGAAATCAACTCGCTTACTCGCATCCAGGAACAGTTAAACCACAATTGTTTGCAGACAATGGCACAAAACAGTACTCAAACCCACATAGTGGCTGTCACGTCAAAAATATGAAAGTTTCAGTCTAACAGTATGTGGCATTTGAAAACAAGTCAAAGGAATATGTTATACTATGTAATATATCCAACAGCTGTTATTAGACTTCATTTAAATACCAGATAACGAACAATCAGTGATCATGATTTTCGTAATGGCATCAACTGTGTTTCGCTGGTCCCGGCGTCCCTTGCGAATGGCAAGCAGGATGCAGGTGTGCAGTAATCGCCATATTTTTCCACCCGACCGGGATTCCGGTCCAAAGGCACGTGTCCAAGTGACGTAATATGAAAACATTCTAATATTCGCTTTCCATAAATAAGTCTTCATTACTGCAATAACGCCCTGCCCATACAGTCTGCCAGTAAGGACTTAATATTTTGCAATGATTCTGTCATTTCTCGCTGTTTCTGTACAAATTGATAACAGAAGAAACAGTTTTTTATTCCCCGAACTTTCGAAAGTAAAAGGAAACCCCTAAACGCCCGCGAGCGTAAGCGCTGACATAAGGTAACCAAGGGATATAGAACAATCAACGAGAAAGTGATAGACCAATCATAATGCTGGAACCATGACTAGTTACCGGCCTCTTGTGGATTGGTGCGCCATGACACTTAAGGCGCCAGCCAACGCCTGTGTCCAAAAATGAACAAAAATATACTGTCTCCATAGAGAGTCAAATATGCAATACGCAATAGAAGACGCGATTTTGAGTGAGTGAGTTGTGATATATATATATATTGGAAATTTCAAAAACATTGCATACATGAAGCAGGTATATGAATACTAAATTTCTAGGATCTGTTTTTTTTTCTGCAATTAATAGTAAACCTAGATAAATAAACGCCATGGTCTGTCATCTTTAATTTAATTTGGGTGCAACTATTATCTTATTGGGGGGGGGGAGCACAGGTGGAGTACACCCTCATTAAAAAAAATGCTTCGATAAATACGAGTCTAAATTACAGCGAAAGCTATTTTTCGAAGGACCACTACATGCATTTTATACTGAAAATTTTAACACAACAGCAATTAAAATAGATTGCTGCATTATAAGCATCACATCCCTGTCAATTCAATGAAATAATTCCAAATAAAGAGGATTTCCTCAAATTACAGCTAAAATTTGTCTTCATTTACGATATTAAAACTGATATAAATAAATAGTGTGCAATATATTCATTTTTTGCTGCTAGTAGTAGATGTTAGTAAGGAAGTGGTGAACCATTAGATACTCAGGGCGATGGCAGAAAAACACATAGTTTTGCGTCAGTGTGTATTCATTCGATAACGAAGGCAATTATCAGTTACAATATAAGCCCACACAGCGGTCATTCAATTTCATAGACAACAATTTTGGTGGTATGAGCTATATATTCCTGTTATGATCCGTGGTACATCGTGGCCATTCCAGGATGTAAACTCGTTCCTACAATTAAATAAATACCACATTAGTATATTAGGCCCATTTTATATGATATTTCAATCGTATGCATGCGACGCAAAACTTAATATATTGCCAAATATTTTGATTTCAATTATTTCCATGGGATAACAAATTTAGTATTTTTTGGCAAATTTTTAATTCATTATCAGTATCAGTGTGTTTAAATTTCCGTGAATTAACATTATAGCATTTTTCGTCTGTCAAATAACGGCCAAATAAATACGTGGAATCATTAATTACTAAGGACCTGGCGTATAACTGGAAATTACTTTAAATAAACAAATGTCCAATTCGGGAACAGAATAATAGTATATTTGGTTATTGATGAAATAGTAGGGCGCCACCAGACGGCTTAGCAAGTGCGTCGTGTTTCTCTCACGAAGTTGTCGCTGATTGTGCACAAAGGAAGCTGCTCATCTCGCCATTGGATGCCGGCACATCGTATGTGTGGTGTTTACAAAGGACATGGAGATGAACTGTGGTACATCGTGACCAATAATAAAATGATTGGTTGTCCAACTGTGGGCGTGTCCTTTTTTCTGTGCTAAACATGCAACACTAAAGTCCCGCCACTTATTTTTCATGGTTGTTCGACCATAGTCCTCTGCACCAGTATCGCGAGTTCTAAGTTTGGTTTACTATGTTGGTCGCTCAACACCATATTCCCCGCCTCCTTTTCGGTACCGACGCCCAACTCGGCGTCCTGGGGAGGAAATCTACTCACCACGCCACGCCACTTCGATACCTCTCCTTCCCGGAAACATGCTTTCCAATACGAGACTGAAATTTCTATAAGTTCGGCCATTTAAAATCATATTCTGGACAAGATTTTTATCAATTAAATGGTCGGCTTCCATTGCTGCTGCGAATCATTCAGAAAATGGCAGCGCAAAAACTGCGCAAATTCATTTTACCGGCACTTTACAGCGGTTTTCACGCAGACACCAGTTAATTCCGTCGTTACACAATGGCTGAAGAAATTTCACATCGACCAGACACGCCTCAAAACAGATGACGAGATTTGACAGGATCGGCCAATGCGCATGCGTCTAAAACAGCTGGTACTAATATCCTAATATTCTAATTTCCTAATAACTTATTTTGCACTCGTACAATCCAAAATACATATTTGATTAGGTTGGTTGGCCGTCAAGTACCATCCTATGGCACCAAATTCACATATCACCAACACGATAGTACAGAGTTATGTTAACATCGAATCAAAATATGACTAATATACTAAATGTTTATTTAATTAATTGTAAGTATGAGATTACATTGTGAAATGGCCATGATGTACCACGGATCCTGTTATACATACGTGTACAATTATTATTAAAATACAGTGATGTAATGAAAATGTTGCATTTAGTGTGAACATTGTTATATTAAAGCCAGTGAGTCAAACAGTCAGAAGTAGAATTGTTTAGTCTAGAAATCATGGTCTTTACGTGAACTGTGGATAAAAACAGTACACAGTAATGATAGCTGTAAGCTCTCTCTCTAAAAGAATCCCATTCCATCGAATCTCTGACGTCACCGAGCATTCCATACTATTGTCAAAGATCCGGTTTTACAAAACGAAGTTAATATATGTCTAAAATAGCTGATGGCAATGCGTCGTGTGGCCTGAAATATCCATTACATTTTCCCAAGGCCGTACACTAAACTGTAGGATACGAAGAATTAGATACATCACACAATAGCATCCAGAGCAACAAAGCGTACGTCCCAATAAAACGTTCGTGTTAACTAACATCTTGGGGTCTGTCCGAGGCTATTAAAGTATAGTGAACGTGCAATGAGGGGGTATAATGACATACACAAATCTATCTTGGGCATCTGATGTGCGTGTTTACTATGTCATACATACACCGCGGCACGAGATGTGCGGGTCTACTGTGGGTATAATGGCGTACATAGTTCTGTCTCAGTCCTCTCAGTGACTCTGACTCAGAAAAGCACTTTTGAATCTTAGCACTGCTTAACCGTGGGATTAGAGAAATCCATACATTGATCAAATAAATAATAAGAGTTAAAATTCGAAGATCAACATGTAAATATGCTTGAAACTTGAACAGGACATTTTCAGAAAATGGTCTGTATTTAACAACATCGACGATTCTGTATACAAACAATTTTAATAAAAAAAAATGATTGAAACACACCCATAAGTGAAAGCTACCGAAACCGAGCCCAAACAAGCACCTGTATCATGGTATTATCATATATGAAAATATTTCTGGCATATTCAAACAGTTAATTTATTATTAGTCCGTATGTATTTATTCAAAATAGTATGTATGCGTGCGTATGAAAATATACACACGCATACATACACGCGTACATATATATGTGTAAATATCGGACGATTGTTTATCTGCGAGACGAGCAGCCTGCAACCGATAATATGCGGTGTCTATATTGTATGTTCGTTGTCTTGACACTAGCCGATATTAGTAAGGTAAGTGGTGATGCATTAGAATTGATTACACGGAATGGGTATTGTATCACTTTGCCAAACCAGGGGCTTAAATATATTTGGTGACAATTTTATGTTTAATGTTTACTGAAAATGATTATTTTTTTAAAAAATTTACAGCTGTGCATTGCTGCAGCTCCTGAACCGGTAGCATTTTGGCCACTAAATAGCGAGTATGGTTTAGCTGATGTATCGGGGAATGGCAACGACGGTACAGCAACAGGCTCATCGTTGGACGCGGATGCGTACGGTAGATGTACTGGAGCATATGAGTTCAGTGGTAACAAAAACTCCTACATAGAATTCCCGAACAACGGTGCTTACGATACTGAATATTCACTTACTATGATGGCGTGGGTATATCCAACTGGAGTCGATGGTCCTATCTTCAACTACGATAACGATGGTTGGGGCGCCCACTTATGGCAAACCGCAGGACCTAACGAGTTTGTACGGTTCGTGAGACGAGATCGGTCGTTTACCGATTCTTTGACTGTCGAGCTTAGTATGAATCAATGGAACTTGTTCGCCGCTACGTACGATTACAACACTGGTATGGCACGGCTTTATTTGGATGGTGTCCTGAAGACGAGTTTGGACATTGGGGTAACAACATTAGCAACTGACTACAAAGCACGTATGGGAGCACGTATAGGCGATGGTAGATATTTCTCAGGCATGATAACGTGTATGCAAGTGTACAATGTAGCGTTGACTCTCTCCGAAATTGCAGCTGCCAGCAAAGACCAACACTGTGGAGATTTCACAGGTAAAAATTATCTCATTATTGGTAATAGCTCTTTAGCATGCGTACATTGTGTTTTATACTGTACTGAACATTATTTTATCAGCGACAGTCCTTGTGGGACTTGAAATGAATCAAGAACATGTCGATGTCTGTGACTTAGATATATAGTATATAACTAGTTACATTGTTTTTATTCGCTCAATTACTAATTTTAATTTATGGGTGTAAAGTTGGATATATTATGAATAGTATTGACTAATGATTGAATAGTGCATTGTCAGTGGAAAATCCCTAAATTTGAATCCCGAATAGATGGTTATTAGACATTATAACTAAATTATAATGCGTATCAGTTTGGAATATACTCGTATCAAAGCGTGTTGAAACTCGAACGCGTGTGCTGATTGTAACGATTTAAAGCGGCAGAGTCGTCACTTGCGCATGCGTCAGATGGCCATAGCGTGTCATTATTTACAAACAAGCGTCCACGCATGAGTCTATCATAACTAGCATTCATACTTCAGTAACAAATCTTTATCAGAGATACCTTCTTGTTATACGGACGCTTGAACAAACAAGTTTGCACAGACAAGGACGTCTAGATACATATGATGTTATATGCATTTATACATACACTTCAATAATCTTACACCGACATCGAACTGGG